TACTTGAACATTCTGGATATTTTGCTAATTTATATAAGTAGGCGCTGCAAGATGCGATCGTAGTAGACTTGAACTCGGCGACACAAGCGAAGCTTCGGAGCGGAATTAAGTGAATTAGTGTGTTTAATCATTAGTGTTTTAAGTTTTAATTTGTGTAAAGTAAATTAAAGTGTTAATTTAGGTAATTTTATCGGCAATTTTTATTGTCAATAACCATAAGCTCGTAAAAATTGGTGTCAGAAGTGGGATAAAATAATGCCGATTTTACCTAAGGATGAAACGGAGGGTGTCCGTACCCGCAATCAGCGCCAGCATGAGACGGACCAGAGGAGATTTGGTGGTGCAACGCCGCAGACGTCGGAGGGCCAACTGCCAGCCACGGAGGCTGCGGGCCCGTCAGTAGCTCCTACACCTGCAGCACCTGACTTAGGTGCTCTGATGGCGATGCTACAGGAGCAGCTGCAGCGCGGACGAGAGGAACAGGCCCGTCTGTTGAAAGAGCAGCAGGAGGAACAGGCTCGCCGACAGGAGGAACAGGCTCGCCGACAGGAGGAACAGGTCCGTCGGTTGGAAGAGCAGCTGCGGGCGGCCAGGAAGAACAGATGCTTCTCATGAAGGACCTTCACGCTACCTTCGGGAAAGAGATAAGGGAGGTGAAGGATAAGGTTGCTCAACATGATAACCGCCTGTCGGAAGCTGAGACCCAAATCAACCAAGTTAAGAAAACGCTGGATGAACTCAAACTTGGGGATGGAACCACAGCTCCCGTAGTAGCTTCAGCACCTTCGCTACGTGGGTTCAAGGTGCCACCGTTTGACGGGACTTCTTCCTGGTCAGCCTACAAAATCCAGTTCGAGGCTGTTATGAAGGCGAACGGCTGGAATAAAAGTCAGGCCATGACTGCTCTCACACTAGGCCTGCGCGACCAGGCCTTAACAGTTCTGGAAGCTCTCGGTGAGGAAGTGACTTATGAGCAACTCCTTGAGGCATTGGAGGCGAGATATGGCGACGCTCACCTGGAACACGTCTTTCGTGCGCAGCTTAAAGATCGTGTGCAGCGCATCAACGAAAACCTGCAGCAGTGGGCTCTAGAAGTGGAGAAGCTGGTGAGAAAAGCATACCGGTCTGTACCTGCGCTCATTAGGGAACCTGTGCAGACATTCATCGACGGCATCCGCGACCTGGAAGTCAGAGCTGCTGTGAGGCTCGGGCACCACGAGACGCTTAAGGACGCCTTGGCCCATGCACTGGAAGTGGAAGCCGTGCGGCGGGATCATCGTTCCCATCGCGTCAGGGAGGTTGCAGCAGCTACAGACCGTGACCGCAGCAAAGGATACAGCCCTAGGTGCTATGGCTGTGGGGAAAAGGGCCATCTTCGATCCAGCTGCCCTAAACTAACCGTGGAAAGGAGAGTTGATCGATCTCGAGAGGGTAGTACAGCTAACGGCACTGCCTGGCGGCGACAGGATCATCGTTCACCTCACGCTAGGGAGGTTACAGCAGTTACGGTTCGCGACCACACTTCTGGAAGACTGTCGCAGTGTTCTCTCCCCGAACGAATTGGTCAAGGCGAAGAAGTTGTTACTCAAGTACGCCGATGTATTCTCATCAAACGATGCTGACATAGGAAAGACTGGCTTAGTTCAACATAAAATAAACACAGGGGAAGAATTGCCTATCCGTCAGCGGCCAAGAGGATTGCCGGTAGCACGTGAAAAGGAAGTGGAAACCATGATTGAGGGAATAGTGAAGGATGGTGTTATTGAACCTTCATCTAGTCCATGGTGTTCACCAGTGGTGCTGGTGAAGAAGAAGGATGGCAGCATGCGGTTTTGTGTTGACTACCGCCGTCTGAACGACGTTACGAAGAAGGATAGGTACCCCTTGCCAAGAATTGATGACACGCTGGACATGCTTACAGGAGTAAAGTGGTTTAGCACGCTGGATCTAAAAAGTGGCTACTGGCAAGTTGAAATTGACCCTAAGGACAAGGAGAAAACTGCGTTCTCGACGGGAAAGGGTCTGTGGCAATTTAAAGTAATGCCGTTTGGGTTGTGCAATGCTCCAGCAACGTTTGAAAGGCTGATGGAACTTGTACTTACCGGGCTAATTGGCGATGCCTGTCTGGTCTACTTGGATGACATCATCATCATAGGCCGTACGTTTGAGGAACACCTTCAAAACCTGGAACGCGTGCTCATGAAGATTCAGAGTGCCAACCTCAAGTTGAGCCCGAAGAAATGTTCACAATTCCAACGGCAAGTTAACTTTTTGGGGTTTGTAGTATCGGAAGAAGGTATCCGCACAGATCCAGAGAAAATCGCCGCTGTCAAGGATTGGCCGGTTCCAAAAGACAAGACGCAGGTTAGAGCATTTTTGGGTTTGTGCTCCTATTACCGGCGATTTGTGAAGAACTTTGCAGATATAGCCAAACCTCTGCACAAGCTAACCGAGGAGAAGCGACATTTCTGCTGGGATGAAAGTTGCAATATCGCATCCAGGAGCTCAAGGACCGTCTGTGCAAAACACCTATTTTGGGATACCCTGATGAAAGCAAAGAATTTATAGTTGACACAGACGCAAGTGAGATAGGACTTGGCGGTGTGTTGTCTCAACGGAATGGTGACCAAGAGGTCGTGATAGCGTACTTCAGCAAGTCGTTGTCAAAACCGGAAAGGAACTACTGTGTCAAAAGACGCGAATTGTTAGCTGTGGTAAAGTCGTTGCAGCATTTTAGCAAATATCTTCTGGGGCGAAAATTTCTCTTACGAACTGACTGCACTAAAATGGCTATTGCAGTTTAAAAATCCAGAAGGACAAGTTGCGAGGTGGATTGAACTACTGCAGGAATACGACTTCGAGATCGAACATCGCAACGGGAAATCTCATGGCAACGCAGATGCATTGTCAAGAAGACCTTGTCCTGAAGATTGCAAACATTGTACTAGGCAAGAGAGTAAGGAAGTGGTATCCGTGAGGATGCTCAGGGCAGACCACCTCAGCAACGAGTGGAAGGACAGCTTACAACGTGCACAGCAGGAAGATCCGGACATCAAGCCGATCCTGGAATGGATGAAGGCCAGTGCTCCCAAGCCCAAGTGGAGCGACGTCTCAGCGATGAGTTCGACCACTAAAAGCTATTGGGCCCAGTGGGACAGCTTGCTGCTTCAGGATGGAGTTCTGTGCCGTAAATGGGAAAATGTTCGGGGAGACAGCTGTCATTTACAAATGGTTGTCCCTAAAGCTAAAGTACCGGATGTTCTACAGCTGTACCATAATGATTATTCAGGAGGCCATCTGGGAGTTAAACGAACTCTACTGAAGATCCGAGAACGGTTTTACTTGGTCCACTGTCGAAACGATGTCGAGGACTGGTGTCGCAAATGTACAAGTTGTGCGGCTGTAAAGGGACCTCAGACTCGTAGTAGAGGTGCATTGAAGTTGTACAATGTTGGTGCACCATGGGAGAGAATAGCCATTGACGTGGCGGGGCCGTTTCCGGAGAGTGAAAGCGGTAACAGGTATTTCATGGTTGTGATGGATTACTTCACTAAGTGGCCAGAAGTCTTCGCCATTCCAAATCAAGAAGCTTCAACAGTTGCTGATAAGCTAGTTCATGAAGTCTTCTGTCGTTTTGGTGTACCTTTAGAGATTCACAGCGATCAAGGAAGGAATTTTGAGTCTCAAATATTCCAGGAAACTTGCCGAGTTATGGGTACTCATAAAACAAGAACGACTTCTTATCACCCGCAATCTGATGGAATGGTAGAACGATTTAATCAGACATTGGAGAGGTACCTAGCAAAAGTTGTAGACAATCGGCAACGAGATTGGGACAAGCACATACAACCGTTTTTGTTGTCATATTGAAGCGCTGTTCACGAAAGTACAGCAGTGACACCAGCTTTCGCAAACTTTGGAAGAGAATTACGGCTGCCTGCAGACCTGATCACCGGGATACCACCTGATGCTCCACGCAGTATAACCGATTATGCAAATGACTTGCGGAACAAAATGAATGACGTTTATGAGCACGTCAGACAATCGGGCCAGCAAATGTCTGAAAAGATGAAAACCCGGTATGACCGCAAAATGAACAACAAAGGGTTCGACGAAGGTTCACTTGTGTGGTTGCACAATCCAGTCCGCAGCAAAGGGAAATCTCCTAAGCTTCAAGCTAAATGGGACGGCCCGTACCGGATTGTGACCAGGATCAACGATGTAACCTACCGGATACAGAAAGGCGCAAAAGGGACTCCTAAGATCGTCCATGTGGATCGCCTAGCGCGTTATTATGGGACCGATAATGCTCGGGACGAGCATGTCTTAGGAGGGGGCAGTGTTACGCGCTCCAATGCCTCAAATCGGCGCACTAGCGCCATCTAGTCTCGAACCGAAGAACTAAACTTCTTGAAGTTTAAAACTCGAACTCTCGGTACCTTGCGCGTGTTTACTTGAACATTCTGGATATTTTGCTAATTTATATAAGTAGGCGCTGCAAGATGCGATCGTAGTAGACTTGAACTCAGCGACACAAGCGAAGCTTCGGAGCGGAATTAAGTGAATTAGTGTGTTTAATCATTAGTGTTTTAAGTTTTAATTTGTGTAAAGTAAATTAAAGTGTTAATTTAGGTAATTTTATCGGCAATTTTTATTGTCACGAACCTCAAGCGCGTAACACTATTATTGGCTCACCTATACGTATTACAATATGAGCATAACATACCCAGGTAGATTTATGTGATATTAACTGATTTCTAATGAATTTTTTAATTTAGGCATAGGTTACAGAAATAAAATCCTAGAAGAGTATTAAAAATGGTGTTTATTTTTATCAAAGAAAATAGTTTAGGAACTTCTTTTAAGTTTCTTACAAAATATTATAAAAAATTAAGTAATCATTAACAAAATAGTAATAAAATTATAAAAAGTAATTAACTGAGATCGTTCATAATAATCATCTAATTCAGTCAACATTTTGAGATTGTTGTATCTTTGTATCAATTATCTAATTCGGTCAAATTTTTTTCTATTTCAGCAGTGGTATACGTTCTATTACCAATACTCCCTCCTCTATGCTCTCTGTCTAAGATATCAATTAACTCCTGATCATTTTCTTTATTTTGAACAATGGTATCTTCACTATCAAATTTATAAAATTTCTCAGAAAATAATATCTTTGATATTTCGTCATTAGTCTTATTTTTTTGTTTCTTTGGCACCGGTCGTTTCTCATTTTTTATTTTCTTTCGTTCCCTTTCTTCTTTTCTTTTCTTGATCCCCTCTGATTTTTCTTCTTTTATTCTGATTTCTTCACTTTCTTGTGCTTTCCACTGTGCCGAAGTTAGTACAAACGGGGTTTTTACAGAGTTTTTAACTCCTTTTCTTATCGGTGTTTTAGGTAATATCAAAATATCTTTTAATTTAACGGGAGTAAGATTTTTCATGTTCATTGAAGCTGTGAGGGATGGATTACATTGAACTGAAATAATTTGTACTGATTGAGACTTTGGTAAATCTATGTTCTGGTCTTCAGGTGTATTATGTATTTGAACACTGTGGTTTATTAATTCAAAATGTGGTTCTTGTGATAAATCTTCAATTGTCTTATTCCCTTCATCTGAGCACTCTACGATTTTATCAAAATCAATTTCTTCTGAAATAGGGACTAACTTTGATTCTTCGGGTTCAACAATATTATTTGGCCAATCGTTAATAAACCCCATATCTAGTTCATGCAAATCTGACGGTAACTGAAGAAGAGTATTTATATATAATATATTTTCAGTATTCCTGATAATAATATATATTTTGATACATGCAGAAGTGCCCATGCCATCTACATCGGGAACTAATGAAAATAAGGAGGATTGACACATTGAATATTTTACTTTTCTCACATCTTTTTCTTGTTATACAAACAGGCAAATTAAAGTAGGCATTAAGATACACGACTATGCGCCCTATCTATATTATCCTGTGTTTATTAATGGATGTCTTATGGATGTTCGACAGATATCTGAAATCTAGCCATATCTACTCGTAATATCTAAACTGGCAACAAAAAAAGTAGAGCGTGAATGCTAATCTGCCAAGTACAATAGTAGATTGTTTGCAAGCTGATGTGAAGTCAAACAATTGAACTATTTTATTAATTCAATTGTAATTCTCATTTGTTTACGTTGGATTTTATTTTATGAATAACTTATATGTGACCATTGAAAAATTAACCCTTAGTGACTGATTGTAACTAAGAACCTTGATACTCACACAATGTTAAATAAAATGCTACTATGTTTATCAACTCATTATTACTTTTTTAAATAAAATTTATTTTTGTTGCAGGTTGAAAACTGCCTAGGAGCACTCAGCTATTAAATAGCTTAAGCTTTGAATATTCCTGCATATTTGGTAAATGGGGGAGCAACAAGCACAAACCATAAATACTACAAGGAGAAAAATTTGAGAAAAGTCATTACATCCTTTGAATTGAATATGTGACCTATGTGCAAAGAACCATCAGTTATAAGTAACAGGTTCTCAATTTGACTGTGTTGTTTTGTATGTTACGCGATATGGGTATGAACCAACCCTAAATCAATTTAAATAAATATTTTAATTAAATTACCTCATTGAATAAAACTAAATTTACGGATTTTATCGCTTTTATTTCATTACTTTTACTTATTTTTAATTTCAGACGTTTCGGGTGCTTTACAGCACCCATGGTCACGGGGGGGACTGAGATGTTTGACGTCCCAATGTCATAGTTAGTCCGGCTACCTTCAGTTTTTGAATATTAATCTTTGGTCCGATTTACGCAAAACGAGCTTATAGTATCATGAAGTCTTGCAGTGGTATGCTTAGGTTTGGATTTAATTTTGTTAATTATAGGATCCCAAGCAGGTGGCAGCATCCATCCATCTTCTCTATTGAAATTTGGATGTTTTTTAATTTCAATAGCCTCGCGTATCATCCTTGGTAGGAATCGGTGTTCTTTTGCGAGAATTTGAACGCGCTAGCATTGACTGCGTTATTTCGCACGCGCCCGGGCGAAATAACGCAGTCAATGCTAGCGCGTTGGAGGCGATTGAATGTTAAAGTTTTTTAACGCTGTTGACGTATATAACTTTTTGTAAATATTGTTGAAATAGTTTTTGTTTAGTGTTTAGTATATTTAATTATAGGATAAAGTAGTTCAAAAGTTTTAATGTAATTTAAGAACTATATATTATGTATATTACCCATTATTTAATAAATTTTAATATGGCAAAACGTCGTTCCTACTACAATTGTTGCGTGGGTAGACGCTAAATGACCAACAAAATATTTCAGATAATATCCTTTATTACCGAAGGATTTTAGTAGGAAGTTATGAAACGTGAATTTATTTAATTTTTATTGTTAGATAGGTACTTATAGCAAAAAAAGAATTAAGTAATAATTTATAATTAATATCAACGAACTTTATTACAAAATTTAGTAGAAATTTACTTCACTATCCAAGTATCTATTTACGTACATATACTTGCCTTTTGTATTAAAATATTTTAAGCTGTTATTTCGGCTTAAAATATTTTAAGCTAAAATAACACAAAACACTGAAATCAAAACTTTGTTTACTAACAAAATTTTTAACGATATACGAATACGATTACATTTCTGTTAGGAATCGTATTTCAAGTTTATTTGTTGTTTACACTATCTACCTTTTCCTTCCGAGCCAAGCGTCGCGAATTCCCGACGAATGGCTTTGCAAGTTGCATGCGTTAGGCATCGCAGAACTCACGTAGGTGCGAAAATATGGTCTGTCGATCATAGGCAGAATAGGTATTTCACCTAAGTAACCTAATTAATATTTCGTAATGTATTTTGTTACTCTTTATTCACATCCCTCCATAACAACGGAAAGTCCACTGTAACGTAGGAAGAGGAAAATGTGCAAAGTAGTACGGACACTCTCGCGCAGCGATAGTTTTATTTAGCTTGCGGGCGCGATTTATCTAATTAATAATAATTATGTAGGCTATTAAACGTCGGCAAGCAGTCAACATTAAAAGAGTGAAACTTCTGTACGTAGTACTATTATTTATTCTGTGCTTACGTTTAGAGTAAGCATGTGGGCGTTTTTAGTTTTTAGCTGCAACGGTTACATAACCGATATATAGATTTCATATCGTTTTTGAAAACCGTTTTCAGATATTGATATCAGTAGTAACGGTTTACTACTGAATGCGCAAACGACAATCGAAACATATAACCGCAAACTGTAGAACTAGTGCAATATTTATTTATTTATACGGTTGAAACTTTTTACGGAAGGGCTTTGAAATTCTGATTTTTGATCCGTAACCTTTTTGTGTGACGTAAAGTAGTGGAGGTAAACACTACTTACGTCCGGGTCATTCGGTCGATCATTCCATAGATAATGATCATTCAAATCACGAACGCAGATATTTCTTGTAATTTTAATTATGTAATATAATTAAAATTACAAGATTACAACGGTCTTTCGTTCAAATACTAATCTTATACATATTAATTTTATTTGAGACAGTTACCAAAGTACACGTATTTCTTTTAGAAAGGGTGGGCGCATTTCAGTAATAGCACCATCTACTACATTCTATAGGTAAAGTTATTTTATCGAACAAAAATTGATTGACTCTCAAGGTGGTACGCAGAGTAGATGCTAGATGGCATCAACCCAAAAAAAAATATTCTCTTATTATTTTTTAAAAACGTAACCTCCACACTAGGATTTTCTCCTTTATAGTGGGGGCAGTTTATAAACATAAATTGTACAAGGACAAACATCCGGACCCGCAACAATTATTTGTAGGCCATACAAATACTTGTACCGTGTGGGATTCGAACCCACGATTTTAGTGTCGTAATTCAATTGCTAAGTCGCTGTACTACAGAGCCGTCAAATTTTATAATTAAGTTTATGTAAAAAGACAATTTATAAATTTTCTTTTTAATAATTTTTTGTAAAAATAATATATAACCGTGGTTTAATTAAAGTAAAATTACATAAATAATAGACAATTACCTAATTAACAAACTAAACCGATAATATCTCTTATTAAAATCGAAGAAGATGATGCACTGTAACATATATGTATATAATTTTATGTAAATAAATGAACGATATACACAAACTATGCTATTTAGAAGTCATAGATGAATAATTGAAATATTTACCTGTAATACAAAAGTTTCATTTCTGTCGTGTGTCTTCTCGATACACACTGTTTTTAGTCTTTATTATGAATAGGTTGCTGCCTATCTCCGGATGTATTTCCTTCTGTCGCCTTTTACGATAGCCACGGGACGATATGGGGTAGTGGATATTCTTACACCGTCACTTCATGGTATAATAAATTATGAAATCTAAATTAACTTAAACTGTACTATACTACTCGTATATTTTCACTTTACACATGATTGTCTGAATTAAAACTAATGAACAAAATGCACACAAATATTACAAATAAAAGCAAAAACGCAACATCAAAAATTAATAATATTGTAGATATTATTTATCTTAGCGAACGACATGCACCACCAAGGTCAAGTGAGTAATTGAAAAAAAAAATCAAATTCTAAACTGTCTATTCACCGAAAGATCATTTAAATTTGACAACTCTCACAACTGCACAAACTTAAAAATTATGCCATTTTAACCATTTAAAATTCGACCTTATTGCTTTAGGTTATTATATCCACTATGTCCATTTTGCACCGTGTGTGAAAACTACCAAAACCTCGCAACGAAATCCATATTCGCTTCATCTCTTTCTATACGTATTTATAACACCGTCGTGTTACGAGCTTGAGGTTCGTGACAATAAAAATTGCCGATAAAATTACCTAAATTAACACTTTAATTTACTTTACACAAATTAAAACTTAAAACACTAATAATTAAACACACTAATTCACTTTATTCCACTCCGAAGCTTCGCTTGTCTCCCCAAATCCAATACCGCCCCGATCGCATCTTGCAGCGCCTATATATACAAATTAGCAATGAAGCATCCGGAATATTCAAGTAAATGCGCGCAAAGCGACGACTGTTCGAGTGTAGATTTTCTAGAAACTTAGTTCTTCGGATGGCGCTGTCGGTTGAAAGATTTGTGATGTCATTTTCTGCAAAGCTCCCCTCGCTCTCGTTCCTGACACTAGATGGCGCTAGTGTATGACGTTGACTTATTCACGCAACACAACGAATATCAACGAAGATCATCAGATAGTTTGGTGGCCCGTGTTGGCATATTGTTCTACGACAACAGTTTTCGTTTTACGTTTCGTAACTTCCGTAAGGTTCTGGTTTTGGTTGAATATGTGATAACGGTTATATACTTAGGTGTATCGATATGATATATTTTGATAACATAACGTTATTAGTTACGTTTTGATATATCGGTCTCATGCCTAGTTTAGTGCCGGGGCGGCATATGAACCGTAGACAAAGGAATCTATGAACTAATGGTGGTTAATGTAGCGCATAGCGTCATATTATAGCGCGCAATCTCTTACTTAGTTCTTCGGATGGCGCTGTCGGTTGAAAGATTTGTGATGTCATTTTCTGCAAAGCTCCCCTCGCTCTCGTTCCTGACACTAGATGGCGCTAGTGTATGACGTTGACTTATTCACGCAACACTGCTCCCTCCTAAGACATGCTCGTCCCGAGCATTATCGGTCCCATAATAACGCGCCA